GAGGTTGATATTCCCCTTCCCCCCTAAAAAGCCACCACAGACCTGACTAGACTCTGAAAAGTCCCCTCTACTCCTCTGGTTACCTCTAACATGGCCACAACGTCATTTGCGCTGCTTAAAAGTTGATTCGAAAAGTTTTACACCACAACCGAGCGGCGAAAGTGGCGGAAAAGCTGGGTGGTAAGGTGGGGAAAATTTCGAGACAGGAAGTGAGAGGGGGAGAGAGAGAGATCCTTGAACATGCCGCCGTCGACGCCTTCGCTTTTGGTCCTGGCACACACACACACGCAATTAGGCATAATCACCTACACACACAATTAAGCAGACTCCCGCCAAAACAACACACACACATGCATCCTCGACCTGGCTATAACCTGCTTGCAACGGCAGCGTCGCCGTACAATTTCCGCAAGTCGTAAAAGTCGGTAATTTATACCTTTTGCCCCATATGCTACGGCATGGTAATTTGTTAAGTAGAGTTAAAATAATTGCTCGTATTTATAATTTACACATTTTGCCTTGGAAATTTATCGTCGCGCTGAAAGTGCGCTAGATACAGGCCCCAAAGGAGGATCCTGCACTCCGAAAAAGCACAACTGTAAAGTGGCGGGGCGTGTGGAAGGGGGATGAAAAGGGGTTTTGGGGCCAACTTGCCTCCGCAATTTTTCGGTGTATTTTCCACTTTTGCGCTGCGCTCAAATTTATGGCCACAAGTTGCCCCTGCTAAACTGAATGAATGAGTAAGTGAGCTCCTGCTCCTGGCGATGCTGCTGCTGCCGCTGCTGCAGCTCCTCCCTCTGGCAAAGTTGAAAGTTTTAGCCGCTATTAATTTCCCGCACCACCCCATTTTTGGGGGGGAAAAGCCGGGCTCTCGGGCTCGGGCAACCTCTCTGTGGGGAATATGAATTGCAGTTGAAGAGATTTACCGACCATTCGGGGTCCAGAATGAAAGAAAAACAATTTGATTTCATGTGATAAATGCTGCCTATGGAAAAATTTGGCATTCTAACACTTTTTAAGTTAATTGTGCCAGTTCACGGCTCAATTTTGGAACATTTTACTTTCGTTGAATATTTAGAAATGTTTTGTACAGCTTTTGATTGTTTTATAGAATTATTTGGTATTTTCTGGTATATTTTTTCTTATTTCCTTTTTAATAAATAAAAAGGATTTGTTATTTTCGTTAAAGTCTTAATTTTTATTTTTAAATCTTTACATTATTTCCTATGTCTTAATACTTATTAATAGCTTTTTCTTGAACATTAATAATATCATTTAAAGGAAACATAAAATCTGTTATAGTAAATTCATATGGCCTTTCATTAATCAACTGCTAGAGGCCCAGAGGAAATAATAAGAGACAAAGTAACATTTTATATGAACCCATGCCTTGGTAACATTCATTTTCCTTCCAAATTACCAAGTAACTCCATTTTGCACGAAATTTCGAAAACCATAAAACATTGTGAACGATAAATTTCATTTTAATGGCTGGAGAATTGTTGGGGAACGGCTCGCTTTCCTCTCTTCCCTTTCACTCGCACATTCAGTTACTTTGTGTGCTGGAAACATTTTATAAAACATTTATTTGCTTGATTCCTAGCCTCATTTCCGCCAGACATTTCGCACCCGCTCCAAGGCCTCGCCCAACCCGTTTACCCCTTACGATTTCTACCCCAATTCAGCAGAAAAGATATATATTTTGTCTGCACTCCGCGCACTCTTCCTTTTTTGGGGCCATAATGAGGCCATAAAAAGGGTTAAATAAAATGTGCAGCAATTGCTTTGCGAAAGCCAACGAGGTCTAGAGTAACGCCACCCCTTTCACCTCGTCTCCCAGTGCCAACCATTAGGTTCCGACCACTGACAGCGAAAATTTGCCCGATTTTCGCGCCGTTGCTTAAGAATTATCGACGTCTTTTTTATTTGGTCGAGGAATGTCAGAAGGGGCGTAGAGGAAAAGCTAGAAAAGCGGCGGGGAAAAGTGTGCGGCGGGTGGGGGGCAGAAATTACAGCTTGTAGCTACAAATTGCTTCCGTTGCAGGCACTTCGGGGCTCTTTAGCTGGGAGGAGGGCAGCCCAAAATAGACACATCAATGAAATTTATTAGTTTGCATGTGCAAGTGCAGCTGGCGGTGGTCGGGATTTTCCATTTCCCGCCGGACCGAGGTCTAATTCGCTTCCTCGACCCAGCTCGTGAAATCCCCTGCCCCTCCCTTTAGATCGGATGTAAATTGCTGCTAATTTGCTTTGTACACTGAAATTAATGGAAACCGAAATGAATGCCAGTTCGGCGATGTGCCGGTAAACATGATAAATGCATTCGGGGATTTAATTTATTCAGAAGTATGTAGTTAGTTCCTGGAATTTTTGTGACCCTGTATAAAATAAATCTCTTTTATACGTTAAATAAAATTTGGAAACATTATTCTGTTCAAGGGTTATAACTTATAAGTAAATACTAAATTCTAATACAAAATATAAAATTCTTGGTCAGATTCCCTTTAACTTCGAAGAGTTTAATTCTCGAAGGGCTTTGATCTCGCCGCCCTTCTTTCACACATTTATGGGTTTATGATGCGCCCCATATGCACGACAAATGCAGCGAAATGAAACTTGAATTTGGCTTCCCGATCCGCCCACCAATCCCCCTCCCCTTCACCACCCCTACTGTTACCTTTGGCTGTCTCGCTTTTACGATGCCTCAAATGGTGTGATAATTAGGTGAACAGACGTCTGCCAACGTGTGTCGGTGCAACATCAAAGCGAACACTGCCACTCCTCCCCACCTCCGCCCACATTCTTATGTAGGTGGGCGTGTGCTCGTCAGGTTTCCGCCCCTGTGAAATGTGAAATGTGCGATGACGAATTCCCAGAACTGTTTGTTATGTCAGTTTACAATTGCCGGGCATTCCGCGGAACTAGATTTCTAGATTTAACAATCCCAAGTCCAATGTTTGACTAGGCGTCGACATTTCGGATGTTTACATGCTGATAGCTTGGCTATTTATTTAACCAATTGCTTTGAATATTTCCTTAGTTGCGATGCTAAAGATCGCAAGTAAATAAATGACTCAGTTTTAGAATTTTTCGTACCAAAAATAATGCCCAATTATATACTGTAATTCACTTACCGACAATAAAAACTTTATTTTTTTTATATTACTAAGAATGTGGTTATAACCCACTTTGTATCGAGATTTCTGATTGTGATTTATGTACTGGACAATCAAGATCAACCCTATTAACCATAGCAAACAAGAGAGGTTAAAGCGTGCTGCAAACCTTGAAGCCGACATAAACAATGTGGACTGGACAGCCATATTTGGTGGTTATTTCCACCTGCTGAAGGCAAAAAAAATGTTTCAGGTCAAAACGATTCAAGAAACAGCGGTGTCAGCCACTTTGCAACTCGTTTGTTGCCCCTCGCTGATCCGTGGACACATGTTGCGGCATCGTTGTCCATCGTGAATATATCTATATATCGGGTATGCATATATCTCTGTATAATTCCCTCTCTTGAGCTGGTTGCATGCGGCCGCCTGTCGCTGATTAACATCGCCATCGTCATCGCCTCTCGTGTCAGCTCCGCAGATAAGCCACTGCCCCAAAGTACGGCCCCTCTTGATCAATTTTACCGATAAATATATTTATATATATATGAATATATACTCCACAGCAAACCTGCATCGATGCCACAAATCATTGCCAAACATGATTTCTTATTATGGCCAGGTAAGGTGTGGCTGGAATTCGTGTTTGCCTTCCAGTTTAGACTTGTTATTTCTGATTTAAGTGCTTGTAATTTTAATTATAATTAATTAGGTATTTATAAATGTCTACAGCTTGATTTATCCCACAGGAAGATAGTTGATAGCAGGTGAAATATTCGAAGGGGATACAATCCAACTTGTTTAGAAATGTGTATGAAAATTAATTAATATTTTGAATGGAAAGATGCCTATCCGAGCTAATCAGATCCCCCCGAATATGCATATCTCGGCGCAAACAGATATATGGCCATGCGCTTAAGTAAATATATCAATTTCGTTGATAATCCGAACGCGAAAGCTTCCTGCTGAGATCCCCGCCCCCTGAATATACGTATTTCCCCTATCGCTGCCCACATGGAGTGGGCCTCCGCTCATTAGCTGCTGCATTCGGAGATGCTGAACAAGCCACTTAATTTAAATTTAAATGTTTACTTCTCGCTATGCGTGTGTGTTGTGTGGGGCCAAGTATTTTGTCTGCGTTGCTTTTAGTGTTTATACCCCTGCCTAACCCAGGAATCACTCCTTTACTACACTGCTGAAATATTAGGGATTTTTAATTTGGTTGGTTTTCATTGCATCTATTTTACCAAAAATTATATATATAAACAAAAATATTTAACCAAATGCAAAACTCCAATATTTAAATAAAATATATCAATTTCAGTATTAAAAACGATTAAGATTAAAACATATTATTTTTTTTATATAGGCTTGACTTTTTAAAACAATAAAATAAGGTAATTAATTGTATTAATTTACACATAATAAAAACATGTATGTTCTTAAAATAAATCACTTAAAAATCAAGCTAATGTTGTGAGACCTTAACATTAATCTCTTTTCCCAATTCAACTACCTAATTTCCCGTGATGAGGGTTATTTTCTCAGTGCATCTTCCGCTCTGTGTCACGACAGGGCAAGATTTATTTTCGGTATTCCATGGGCGACTAAAATGCGCTGTCAGCGCAGCAGTTGCTGCCATACGTCGCCGTCGCCATCGCATGACTTGGGCTGTGGTTGTGGCTATGGCGATGGCTATATAGATACATTAGCCGATGGTGGTCCGGATCCGGACCAAGGGGACCCACAGAGCGATCGTTCCCGTTCCCCCTCATTGCACTTGACACCCGAAATTGATGCGCCACTGCGCCCGAGCCGGGCCACATTAATTAGGCAAAATATTGACATGCTGACGTGTGGTGTTGGCTATTGATTAACGCATCTCTCTGGGGTGTGGGTCGGGGTTTTATTGGATTATTTTTAGTGGGATTATGTGGGGATTGGTTTGGCTTAGTTCGGGATCTTCACTTGTGCATTTTATATGTGTGTGAGTGGCTGCTATCGAAAAGGCCTAGTGGCTGTGCTTCTTCTCCGGCAGGTGGCAGGTAATCGGAACGTCGGATGAGTTCGGGGCTGGATTCTTCTTGTTCTTGCTGCAGCCATGGAAGGGACGCAGGAGTCGGATGATCAACTGCATAAAGGCTCCCCAGCGCGCATGACCTAGGATTGGGATAACGCTTGGGTTTAGGCTACATGGAACTGTCCTTTGGCGGTCTATATTTATTCTTACCATAGTCCTGGGCATTGCTCTTCCACTTGGCATCTTTCGGCATCTTATCCACCATCTCTGAACTGGTCACCACATTCGAGTGCAGCGAAGAGGAAGCCTTAGCCCGAGATAGCCTAACCACCTGGGGACTGCGCTCTGGCACCAAGTGAGAGACCTCAACGATGCCCGAGTTTGTCTTTAATGGAAGACGTTCCTCCGATTTCATGCCATTAGCGCTGGCGAATCGGGCACAGCTCTCGGTGGTCTTCTTGAGCAGGAACCAGGACTGCTGCAGAACATTACCGTCCTCGATGAGTTTTTCATAGCCATTTAGAATACGGCGCACATCTACGTTGATTAGCTCCTCAGGAACCTCGGGCAGGTCGCCAAAGTCCTGAAAAAATATGATTTAGGAGTGAACTAAATTAAAAGATCACCCTTGAATCCCACCTGCGAGGTCTTGCGCAGATCCTCGAAGCGCTGGATCAGCTGCTTGATGTTCAGACTGCCCTTAGATCCCTTGGTGTCCGTCGAAGGCTTCGAAGTTGCCCCTCCTTCCGGCGGATCGGTGGCCATTGGCTGGGCGTCCACCGCATCCTCCATGCTGGAGGAGCTCATCCGGCTGAGCATCTTGGCTGTCTGCTCCATGAAGGTCGCCTGGCGATCGCGAAGTTCCTGGAGTCGCATCTTCAGCTCGTCAAGGTAGGCCAACTGGCGGGGAGTGGGCTGCCTGGTTGCCATTGTCAATTTTGCTTTCCCAGTTTCAGATTCTCGCGAACATCTAAATTGGTCCCAAAATGCAGTTTTGGGAGTAGATTTTTTTTGGGCTATGTGGTTTTGTGTTGAGCTTGTCGGACCTATTGTGTCTTTATGGGGATGTCAATGGGTGAAAACTACGACCGTAGTGAGAGTGACTCTAAAGTCCCTGTTTACTACAACGAACAAGTATTTGAGCTTACAAATTGAGGGCCCTGGAAAGTATGCAATAAATTTTGAACCTGGGACCTTGACTAAATTTTTTATTTAAATTCTAAAATGATTATGCCTAAGTCTAGATTTTTTCAAAGTCCTGATAAAAAAATAAATAAATACATTTTTAAACTAGGACCTTGTCTAAATTTTTTATTTAAATTCAAAAATGTTTTTAACTAATTGTAGTTTTTTCTAGTCTTTAAATGTCAATAATATTGTAAAATATTTATCAAGAATATTAATTATTTAGTTTAGTTACTCGAAGGGTATCCCCTGGTCGAACAATTATATTTTAAAGCTCCGCTTTGGACATGGCCTATTACTCGTTATTTTTATGAGCCCCAAATTGAGATATCGCCTGCAATTCTGTCTGGGCTAACTAAGTTGTAACTGCCCGCTGCCCCACGAAACCGATGCCGATCCCTCCCCCGACTTTCATCCGCCTTCGGTTGAACAATGGGGTGATGGGCGAGAGGGGGCAAGGACAGTGGGCGGAGGGGCCATTCCTGATACACCTATATATCTTCGGTTTAGCCTCTTGCCTGAAATGACTCGCCTTGCGATGCTGCGGGTGGTTGGGGCTAGTTTGGAATTTCACGGAGGAAAACGTGCCGCTGCCAACGGCTGACGCCTACACTGAGGAAAAAGAGGGCGTGTCGGCCACTCTGTGACTCCCAGACTGCTGTTGATTTCCCCCGGAGGTGGGCTTGGACTCCATCCCCCCTACCTCTATCTCTCGAATCCGGCGAGTGTGCAATTGTTGTTTTCATATTTTAATGCCTTTTTGAGTTGGTAGGCGTGCCACGACACGATTCTTCTTGCCGATAAGCTGTTATTTTTATGGGCCCCCGCCGAATCGGATCGACTTGAAGTGGAGTGGAGTCGGTGGTGCAGGGTGGTGCCGGGTGGTGCGCCGTGGTGTGCGGTGTGGGCTGGCTGCCGACTTAAAGAAGTTAAAATTATTACACCGCAATTGTCTTGATCGTTGATTTATGTGCGCTTTTGTTGGCGGCTCTCTTGGCTCACGGCTTTGGTTACTTCTTTTATTTTTTGGTTTTTGTCTTTTTTCTTTTTGAAGTTACCAGTTGGCCAACAGGCAAATTTGTGTGGCTGTTGATATTTATTGGCCATGTTCCGGGCATTGGCATCAATTGTGTATGCAATATGGGAAGTTGATTATGCCTCTCATTAGCCACCGTATTTTTTCCTTGTGCACGAAGTGGCGACAATTTCATTCCCATGGACATGGAGTGGTACTTTTTTGGGATCACTAGCTCTGAGATACGAAAGGTTATAAATATGTATAGAAATATTATTCAGAAAACCTTAAAAAATTGCCCATTTCCAATCCCGAAAACATTATTTTTACCAAATATCAAGTCTGAATCATAAATATCCGAATTCTTTAAAGTGCAGTATTTTTAATCCTTCTTTTTGCAACTTTTAGGCATTCTCTAATTGAGTTCTTGATCCGGCGGCACTACTTCCTACCCAACGTTTTTCGGTGAATGTCTGGCCTGTGTCATAACAGACCGGGCAATCTCATCGCCTCCTCCCGACCAAGCCCAATCCCAAACTGAAACCCAAACCCAACCCAATGCGATCCAATCCGATCCGAGTCCCATTGTGCGACTCCAGCACGATTAAAGCCGACCGCATTCGTAGCCGCCTTCAATTGCCTGCAAACTTAATGATTTCATCTTTCATTGAATTCAAATTTGTTTCCCCATCGGGCCCCCACGATGTCCGAGTGCGATTTGCAGCTGTGCAGGGAGCACGATGTTCGGTGTTCGATGGTCGATGGTTGGTCTCCAGTATCCAGTATTCAGTTTGCAGTTTGGGGCTGCTGAATGTGGGCGTGCCTCCATCATACGCCCCTGGAGTTATTGTCGTTGTTCTCTCCGCACTGTTGATAGCCACCGCCGCGGACCGAGCCTCGAAAAATAACGAATTTATTATTTATTTCACCTGACAGCCCGGGCAACAGACTCTATAAATTTCCCTAGCCACTCCACTCCTCCACTCCGGCCCGGAATCATATTTATGGCCCCATCTGTATCTTTCTGACGATGCGCATATGAAAACGAAATTATTGATAAGGCTTGCATAGCACTACATGCCCTTATTTTTCAGCTCTGATTGAAATACCGCTTTCGTCTGGCAATGCAACAGCTTCATTTGGACAACCAAGCAAAAGCAAAAATGAAAATGAAAATACAAAAATAAAATCAGGAGAAACCGAAAGGTGGAAATCAGCTGCAGCAACAAAGTTTATTGGCAACACACAAGGAGGTAAGAATAATAAAACCTTAACCCAATATCCTGCTTATGGTCATAATTTTTATGCTGCTTCCAGCGAAGAAACCAAAAAAGTGCAGATCGACCGCCTGGGCTCAGCTTATTGCAGTTGGTCCAGGTCCAGGTCCCAGGTCCGGGGAACTTTCCCTCCAATCCCCAACGTGCCCCGTATTTCATTATGAATTGCTCTTAACGATGTTCCATTTTTCATGAGCGCATTCATAAACCTTTTTCTTATTTTCGACTTGAAGCGGATTGTTGTTTGCATCTCGCCGTTGCCATTGCCATTGCCGTTGGTAAAGAAGAAGGCGATTCTGTCTGTCTGGCGGTTTGGCTGCCCCAGCACTCCTCCTCCGCTCCGGTTAGCAAGTGAATGAATAATTGCACCAAGGTGTTGTAAGAAGAGCTCTGCTTTTCGTATCCTTCCCTTACAGTGGTGGTAATACTGTGGTAATAAAAACACATTTATATTTTTACCATGTTTAAAACATTTTTTAATTTATTAGTTTTTTTATTTTTAATTATTTATTTAATGAATTAATTTTTTTGTCTTCAATGTTATTATTGATTTTATCAGTAAATTTCGATTATAAAATGTTTTAAAAAAGTTTTAAAATAGTTCTCTGGCGATTCTCGAGGTATTTATGTAAAATATAAAAACTGTATTTAAATATTTCTTTCGTTGCTTAAAAAATACTTGTAACTTTGTCATTTTCAGTTGCATCTATGATTGACAATTCGCTGAAGAACATTTTAACTAGCTTTGGTAAAAGTAATTTTTCAAATGCCAGTTAAAGGCCCCTAGGGAGACTTTAACCCCTTGCTATGCCCTCTGTTTCCGTTTCCTCCGTTTCTTTCCGTTTTGGCGAAAAGCAATTCCCTTTTACAATTCCGCGGCTCTATGACCAAGAGTCTTGGGCTCTGAACTGCACGGGAAAAAATTTTTACTTCTAACTCGGTAACAAAAAGTTAAGAAATATATTTAATATTTATTCGTATTGTAATGTGTTTAATTGAGTGCTGAAATATGATTGCAGAAAATAAAACAAAGTTTTCAAGTGCTTTCGAATCAAGTCTCTTCAAGGGCTTTTCGAACTGATCTGAATTTTTCGCGGTGTATATAAGGGTTTCCTCGGCTCGGGCTGCTGTCAAAGGCGCAGCGGGCAGTCGTAAAATCGCGGCAAACACAATTGAAAAACGACCGGGCCGTGGGAAGTGAGAGGGGAATATATTGGTGAGTGAAGGAGTGCGGCGGCAAACACTCCACACTTGTCAGCAGCGGCCTTAGCCGATTGTGCCGGGTCCAGAACCCCCTTCCAAGCCTCTGAAACCCCCCTCGACGCCCCTGACTCACGCTTATGCCCACAAATCATAAATTGCCGCCTTAAAATTTATCTTCAATTTTCGAGACCCCATGTGGTGCTTAGCGAATGGTGTTTTGAAATTTATTGCTGCATTTGCAATAAATATTGTCAGTTGAGTCGGGCCAACAGAGGAAGCGAGATGGAGGAGTGGGTTGGAGCGGGATGGCCATAATGGCGGCGTTTGCTTGCTTTTTGCATGATTGCCGCTGTAACGCCTCTGCCCAAAACCCCCCCCTGTTAGCCGCACTCTGCCCCTGGAAATCCTCCATTCAGTTGGTTCCTTCTCGACGTCCCCTGGATTGTTTATTGTTTTCGTGCATATTAATGTACGCTGATTGCGGGCCATGGCTAGCGGCGAGAGGGGTCGTTCTGTGCCGCAGGGGGAATCCCCCCGCGTGGCAGTTAGCAGCTGCCGTGCTGTGTCCTTTCCCGCCGAAATCCCCTTCCCACACCACCCATGATTGTTAATTTACAGCGCGAGAAATTGATTGCCATTTTGTTAAGATAGTGTGTGCGAAAGAGCGGGGCTTTAAAGATTTCAGGGGCGTACGCGGTGGTGAAGTTTTCCGCAGGGGTGTGTCCTTCAATATTTGCCGATTAATTGTGGTTCCTTTGTACTAACATATTATTTATCGCCTGGGTCTTGGGAGTGGGGCTAATTGGGGTGGAGCTCTAATGAAATCATCAGGATGAAAAGATTTGACAGCTCAGATTTCAGCTGGTTTCTCGGAAATATATGAAAATTTAAGGCTATCCTGAAGGTTTTTTCCGGGAAGTTGATACGTCTATTGAAATACATTACATTTTGCCGATTTTTTTTAGTTTAAAATATAAATTTATTTTAATTTAGCTGAAATATTTAAGTATTCATTTTTTTATATTTAAAAAAAAATAAGAAAGCTACGCACAAATTAAGTTCCGAAAGTTCTCAACCCTTCTTAAACATTTTCCGAAATAAGCTGCCATTTGGCCACCAATCTCGATCCGTAAATCAGTGGGTCATATTTTCTGCACCATCGTTTACTGAGATCTTTGGGGTTCTTTTGCTGTGCACTTTCACTTAGCCCTCTGAGCACACAGTAAATGTAACTAAGCTCGGAAAGCTTCGACGACTCGTTGGACGTCAGGCGGCATTGGCAGACCCATCAATCAATTGACAGAGGGCCCAGACATGGACACTCGAACCGTAAACCTCGTAAACCTCGTATCTCGGGCGCTGCCTATCGAGTCCGAAAGAATGGAATAAC